GCCGCACAATGGAGCCATTTACCAGGTCATCGCGAATTAAAAAACGATCAGCACCTACCTACTACTGAAGCAGTCCCAGTTCTTTTATAAGGAATACAATGCTGAGAAACTTTACCTTATCGACACCAAACCAAGCACATCTATAGTACTCTTCGAGGTCTTCAAATTCAGTGAGAACTGTGATTTGCACGGAGCATCTATGCATTGTGCACTGCACTTTGCACAGTCGAGAGCCAGACGGGATTTTTCTTCTTCTTAAGGGCACCCCGTTTTGGGAAGGCCTCGGCAAACTGACAATAGAGACAATACTTGTTTGCAAAGGGCAGGAACATCAGCGTCATAGGAAGTGTGTGGCTGCAACCCTCAGAAATACAGGTGTTGCAACTTCTTTTGTCCCGGCTGCAAGACAAGTAACTGCAGCTTAGTCTCGCACAACTCATCAACTGGCAGCCCTTACAACGTGCTGGCTCTGGCAGCTGAACCCAGCGCCTCCACTGCCCTCCGTTCAGGTCGGTCGCAGCTGCCGGCACCCGGCCGTGACCAGAGTCGATAAGACCGCGGTCAGCCCAATCTCCGGGTGAGTGCCGCAGCCGTCCGGGTTCACTCCAGGAACAGAGAGCGGCGACGGGGCGTGTCCCACACCCGGTGACGTCACAGCCCAGGGAGGGCGGCGCGGCCGACTCCCATGAAGCAACGCGCGCGCTCCGGTGATGCGCGCGAGCCGGCGCCGCGTTTGCCGGCCGTCTGTGAGGCAACCGGCGGCGCCGCGCTGCACAGAGCGCCTCTCTCCTTCTCCCTTCTTGGCACGCGGTGACCCCAGGCCAGCCAGTCAGTAGCGCAACACCCCTCCCCAGCCCGGGAGCTAAGGAAATAGCAACAGATACAGCGCCGGCCGGCGCCCGCGGGCCGACCATCACACACGTTACATCACAGCTCACACGCTACATTGCACAGATGAGCGCCCAAACTGGCAGCCGAGTCGACTGAGACCGAGCACCGTATAGGCCATCAAGTTGGCGGCAAACGGCAGTCGTCAGAGCAGTGCGGTGAATGGTCTCTCCCACTAATCGCCGGAGATACACACCAATAAGCATGGATCCGGTCGCTCGGCTCCATCCTATCTCACAATGGCGCCAACGGTACTGGCACGTTCGCCCCCGTCGCATGCCCCAATCTGAATCCCCCCAAAAAACTCATTCCCCTCCCCTTTAGACCGTAGTAATCTTGCTTTAGACAATGTGCCTTCGGTATAATTTTATCGACTTAGAATGTCTATATCAGGTTGCTGAGACTCAATGATTTTGTGGTTGAAATAATGATCTTGATACAATAATCTCATCTGACTTTTAATTTTTGCTCGAATCTTTTTTTTTCGAATGAGAATAAAAATTATACTATATATCTTCATTACTTCAGCCAGGTCCGAATCCACACCCGTCTGGCGAAACGTCTTGAAAAAAAGACCGCAGAACCAACACCACGCTCCATCCCTCCATCCCGCCACCTCCCGTTCCGACAGCACCGAGTATGCAGGGCGCGTAGCTCCGTCTGTCCCTCTCCTACTGAGCACACGGGGCCCGCGCTGACCCGCTGGCACCGGCGTCTCTGTTGCACCGGTCCGTCCGAGACCTTTCACAACAGGCCAGCGGTGGGCCGGCGCCACCGACGCCCCTCGACCGAGCGCCCAGCTGCCGTCACTCACGGCATTCGTCTGGTGGGCAGCGGCCGCGGAGAAGGCGGGTGGAGCCGCCCGACAGAGGGGATGAATATCTCGGCAGGTGGCCATAAAGCACCGGGAATGACTAGCGAAACATCAGCTCCTCATCTCTATTGGGAATATTGGGAACCATCGACACCAATCGCAATGACGAAGTAACCGGTAGGCTTGTCGATTTTGTCCTGTGCTTGGGGAGGGTGAATAGCGCTAGTGTGGCCCGCTACCGTGCTGTCGTGAACTCTCGCCTGTTTTATTTTGACAGCCTCCCTTACAAACCAGTCGACTGCATGGTCATTTGCGACAGTAGATGCGACTTATGCAACCTCTAACTTATCACAGTCTCTGTCAGGGCGACAATGATGAAATTGCGGTGGACAGACTTTAAGCATTGTGCCTTCTTCGTAACGGTAGTAACGTGCTCTGGATTATGATCAGTCGATAACTAGCGCCCGATCTTAACAAGTTTTCACAATTTTGATAAAAAAGTAGCACGGCTAGAAAGTTTAAACTGTAGAAAAGGCAGGAATTGTCCGCGATATTTTTGAAAACATCCGCAGGTTTTGCGCCAAAGCCCATTCAGAGATCCATAAATCATTAGCGTCGCCACGGGGGGGCAAGCGGGGCAGCTTGCCCCCCCAACCTCGGACCGGGCACCCCCTGAGATCGATACAGATCCGATGAGATTTTGGAGTCGGGAAAAAATGGGGGTACCTTTCTGAGAATGCCTGTGAGCTGTCAGACTCGGTTGGAGCGTGCAGTTCAAACCAGAGTCTGACTCGCAGTCGCCAAAGTCTTCAAGACTCCAAGTCCAGACTCGGAAATGTCAATGATGTGATTCATTACATGTTCCTAGTTCGTTCTTTATTACATTTTACAGCTGATTTTCATAAGTTTTGGAGTGCTGACACAATTTTCGTTCAAAGCGTGAAACGAAATCTTCGGGGCCTTTCTCAACTCTCGTCAAACGTCTGCGACAGGCTCAAGTACCGTACAAGTGTCGCAGGGCTCATGAGCTTGCTTTAAACAAAGGCTCCTAAGGAGCTCCACTGAGCCCTAAAGAAGCTTTCAGAGGGCCCAAACCGGCCTCTGAAAGCCCCACTGGTGTCCATGTTCTCTGAGGACCCATACAGGGATCTTTGAGCCTTCGAACATTTCTGAGAACCTTAACTGGCCTCCGATAGTTCAGCCAAATTTTTGAGGCGACAGACTTTGCCAACCCCAAGCCGGCATCTGCGGGGTCACAGCTCACGTGTCCCTCTGAGGTCCGCAACACATGTTTATTATGTCCCTACGTAGGGTCCTTAGGGATTCGACATAGACCCCGAGGGTTCACACTGCTATCCGAGGGCTCCAGGCTCACCCTGGGCCTAGTCTCTTAGCGCCCGCCGCCCACACTGGCTTCTGAGGACCCCACCTTGGGCTCGGAAAGCCCTAAAGCACCACGTACGCGTAAATATTTGAGGTGACCCACGTCGATCTCCGGGATCCTAAGCAGGCTTCTGAGAGTCAGCACTGACCCTGAGTGGCCTGAAATGGCCTGGAAGTCACAAACCTATCTCTAAGGGATCCATTGCCGCTATGCCATGCGTAACTTTTGGTTCTGTTTAACAGTTTTTGTTCACGTTTGCAGCGCTTCCCTTCACACGAAAAACGAGAAACTTTTGTTCACACTCGAGTGAACAAAACATGTTCACACTCGAGTGAACAAAACACTTCCTCTCACTGGAGCAAAGATGAATTACTTCCGATTCACACTTCACACATTCACTCTCCGCCGAATGCCCAACTCAGCTACGATCGGCGGCTGGGATAAGTCCTATGCATTTCACGTAAAACCTCTGCATGCATGCGTGAATGGAGGTTTTAGCAGGGTGATCCGATCAAATGGAGCGTTTTTCACCTCTTAATGGGTAGGTAATGATCATGAGCGTCGAGCGTCTGCACAGGGGCCCTCTGCAGTGCGTCGGCAATCGCAACCACTATAATTCTACCAGTCGTTTTGTTATGAAATTTCAAAATTTCGAATTTTTCTGTAAAAAATTACATGTCATAGCTAGAAGGAAACCTTTGTCACCATGGGATTCCTCGCACCATTGCGCGTCGAATAATATGTAAAACGAGTGATTTAAGACTGGGGAAAGGCAAGTTTTGACACAAAAGTTGATTTTGCCCCCCCAACCGAAAATCTCTGGCGACGCCTATGCCATAAATAACGGAGCATGGGAAGTAACAGCGGATTTTCAGCCATCGATGGCCAGCGGTGTGAAGTGTGAACTGTACAAGTCCACACCTACCATTGAGCCGTCAGCAGAAACGAAAGGCAACGTGACCAAACCGCGCCGACTCCTCCCACAGACCACCGGCATATTGTAGCGACACCGCTGAGAGCGGTCTCTCACCAAACTTTCAGAGCTCTGAGCATGGGGCGAGAGAAACGGCATATTTTCTAGACAAATGACGACAAGGGCGATTGTATTGGTTCCACGATGCCCGCACGACAGGTTGACGGTAACTGTGGCAGACGGTCTCGTGCATACGATACTGGGGCGTGACTGCAGTTCCAAGTATCAGAAACTTGTACAGTTAACCTGTAGCTGATGACAATGGAACAAATAGCGTTGTTAATTATAACAATGGAACAAATAGCGTTGAACATCCCGAGCCGTCTGCCAGGGCAAAGGTGACGAGCCGAATTATCCATGCTAAGTGGGACTGACTTCGTTCACAGTTATTTTCTACGAACAAAATGGGAGCGACGAAAGGCCTTCATTCCATGGGTAGTACCGTCATACTTGGGGAGCCCACCGATCCTTGAGCAGCAGAGCCACTGGCGGATCCAGGGAAAAGGGGGCATTTGGGGCAAATGCCTCTCCCCACCGCAGCGCCCTAGATCGATGAAAAAATGCGTTTTTCGAGAATAAAACGAAAACTGAACATTCAATAAGGAAAAATTTACGTTTAACTGCACAACAGTGGGTAACGAATCGAAAGTTGATTTTTTTTTCGGAATGTGGATTTTTTTTTTTTGGGGGGGGGGTATGCCTCCCGCAGCATCCAAGACCGCCTTTCTTGATCCGCCAGTGATCAGAGCGTAATGTTTTCGACTACATCGGTACTTGGGATTATTTTCGTCAGCGCCTGGATTACATTCATAAGCTAGGTCGGTACATGCCGTCCACACACAGTGAAACTGGAATGCCTGCGCTGCAGCGCACACCTGCCACGTTGTGTCGCGGCTCAGTCCGCCACCACTGTATCCCTACCCTGCCCCGGTGAGGCTGACCTGTGTTGAGCGTTTGTTCCTCGCTGTCGAGCACGGGCGGCTTGTCGTGTAGCAACAGGTACACCTCGATGGCACACTGCGCCGCCTTGTAGTAAAACGGATGGCGACGGAGAATGTCCTCCAGCCTGACAGGGGAGAAAGCAGACGGTCAAATTAATCCAGCATACACACAGTACGACATTCATTTCGCATAATCTTAATTTTAGCTTGATGTAACAAGACGCTAACCATGGAAAATTATTTTGCTTTCGAACGACGAACATACAGTAGCTTATAGTTTTGTCAACACCTCGGCAAACACGTACCTGAGCAAACCCACGTAGGACCGGATTGTCATCCGTCGAAGGCAGTAGGTGTTGAAGTCGAACTGGTCCTCGATAATATCCGAGAAATGCTGCGAAAGCAGTGGAAATTGATGGTTGGTTATCTTACCACACAGGGTCACGGCTAGTCAATGCATGTTTGAGACAAGCGTGTGCATATATTTACTGTTAACGAAAATATCTTAATCGCATTGTGTCGAACGATTCAATGTTCGTCAGCAGCGGGAATATTCAAGTATTTCTCATTTTTAAACCATTTCATTTACCACTTCGTTTTCAGACATTTTATCAGACATCATTTCCATCAGACACCCATACTCTAAAATGACGACTGCGGCCGAACCACCGCCTGTCGGCTGCTCAGAGTCTGAGCATCAGCCTCAGACTCACCCGGTCGACTTCATGGCACTTTTTCAGGGCGTCGCCCCAGCGCCCGAGCCGCTGGTAGGCTCGGGCCGTCTCTGTCAGGTACCACATGCACTGCATGTTGTTCAGGTCCTCGGTCGCTTGCACACCCTCCTGTGGGCGGACAGATTGGGACAATTAGCGTCACCTATACGAAACCGGGCGAGAGGGCTGGTCACATGAGGTCTGTATTTGACGGGGGTCAGTGTGGAATCACTCAAGCAATCACCACTGTAGCAGTGCAGCTGCAAAGGGGCTATGCGCACAGACTGCTACGTGCCCACTGTATCGAGTCTCACTCCCGCTACATATTCATGCTTACACACCCAGAAACAGAGACACCGAGTGCACAGTGCACACTGCACACTACCGTCGGACTTAATTTGCAACACCGAATTCCCGTGAGATAACGCAGCTTTGAACATTTTGCAACAAGCATAGATCAATTACTTTAAGGCTACACTCAAAAGCCCAAGAGTTCAGACCAAAATCGCATGTAAGCTATCACTTCGAGCGTATACTTCGCATACAAAAGCACTTCACGGTCCATCACTCTCTTTAGGTGTTTGTAACATGGTAGTAATTGACACTTGGTCCATGCTGTTTTGAGAACTAAGCGATCGGTTGAATTGCTTATGACATCACATGCTATCCAATGCATTCCCATTAAAGGAATTTCGCAATCCCTGAGTTTCCACAGCATGACAACAGAAGAGTATCGCTTCATTAGGCACACACTCAGGCAGTCACAGACACCTTCGAATATGAAAAATGCTGCGTCAACGAACTGCTGTCAGTATTGTGCAATGAGCTGTCTCCAAGCCTTCTTGTGTGAGAACTTCGGCTAAACAGCGATTCCCAAAGCGACTTACGTATCACACCAAGCAATAATTCGTATATATTACCCATACACCCAAAGCCCAATACCAATGCCAGGCGCACGCCACGGTATCAATCGGTAGACGTTCAGCTATTTGTTGAACTCACAGACTGGCTGTGTCAGGATCGCTCTTGGTGACTCGCCCTGACGAATTGGTGGGCCATAAGATATCGTATAACTATCACCACTCACCCGTGTGAACTTTGAGCACAGCTCCTCGGCTTCTGAGAGCATGTTGGCGCGCAGCATGTACTTGGCCGCCTTTGAGTTGATGTAGCGGTCCGCCGTGTCCATGCCTTGCGCCTCGTCCATCCACTTGGAAGCCTCCATCGCGTTACCGGCGTGCTGCGGGCCGGCGGACGGACGGGTCAGATTCAGTGCCGGCAAGAATATACCGATCGGTTGTACATCAACACAAAAACACAGACAGCCAACCGACCGGTGAGTGACCGACAGCGGGAGGGCAACACTGACACAGATTGTCCATTAACATTGTCCACTGACACACATTGTCCGGTGCTCAGTGTCTAGCGAGCGGTCAGCGACACAGTGGGGGGGGGGGGGAAGCATTTATAGATCACCTATCACTCAGCGGCGCGGGGACACATCCCGGCGAAAAGCCAACACGGGTTACCATCAATGACCGTCTGACGTTAGAGCTGACACTACCGTGAAGCAACTGTGGCCGATCAAACGTAGAATTGAAAGCCCAAGCTAGTTCCAGTGATTCTTATGAAATGTCTCATGACTCGGATTCGTGACTGCTAACGGTAAACTTAAACTGAAGAGATAGTAAAACGAGCTTAGCGAGATTGGAAGTGGTGCGTGAAGCGCCCTCAAGTTGAATCACCTTGAAAATCTTGTTGACTCACCTTGAAAATCTTGGCCTTGAAGACGAAAAGTTCAATAAGCGTGGGGGTGTGTTCTAATGCCTTGTCTATATATCCCAGTGCCCGTTCGATATCACGTTTAAAGTCAAAATGTTGTGCTAAGTAGTAATACGTCCATACTAAACACGATGGAGCCTCTTTGGGGTTGCTGGCCTCCGCATCTGTAAACGATAGAAACAATCAAACTGAAGGATATAACACATGATAATCATGTACCATTACCAATATATCCAGGTAATTCATAGCTATATGCTAAATTGGACTTAAGTCTCAGATCAAGTTCAACCCATGCCTATAATGGTCCGCAATCCAATTTTCCTAGTCATATATAACTGCCAGAACAAAATTACCTCTCATACAACCATTGGAAAAATGAGCCCCCAAACCAATCGGAATACAACACATTCGTAGAGCCAGCATCCCGCCATCTTCGTACACAGCGACTGCGAGCGTCCGTCGCCACTGACCTGCCGCGCTGAAGTAGCCCGTCTCGGCGAGGGAGCGCTCGAAGCCGAGCACCAGGCTCTCGATGACGCCGATCCACTCAGCGTCGTGGTACAGCGAGGACATGTCGGTGAAGAGCGGCGGCGCGCCCTTCCGCAGGCCCTGCCGCAAAAACTCGTCCGCCAGCGCCACAAACTTCTCCCCTGTGAGACAACAACGGGGCAAGGCGTTAGATAGCGATCATACGACGAAGATGAAGGGAGAAGTGAGAGAGTGATACAGCTCCAGCACGACGAAATTCTCTCCCCCCCCCCCCAGGGCAGGGTGACGGAATGTGTAAGCTAAAGAGAGAGAGAGAGAGAGAGAGAGACGACGGAGGGAGAGGAGGGAAAGAGGGAGGGAGGAATAGTGACAGCACGAATGACTCGGCCTATGTAAAGTGAATGAGGGGACAGTATCACATAGAAACCACACGATGATGCGAACACGTGCGGGGCGGGATAAGGGTAACCGGACCAAGAAGCGTCCTAGCTGTTCAAGACACTCACATACGATACTTATCCTACTGCAAGGGAAGGACGACGGGAAAGCGATAAGGAGCCGATACACTGGACAGGAACGAGAACAGTGGCGCCGCCTGGCGGCCCGTTAGCGAGCTTCAACCTGTGGCATAGTGACGCTAGGTGGCATAAAGGCACATACCACATTACGGCAGTCACGGTGCATCATTACCGTTTCCATGCCATTACCGCAACCCATCAAAGAATATTGTGGTGAAATTACGCTACGCTGAATCCTACCAGTACATTTCCACGCCGTATATCGCTTGGAAAGAGGCCCCACTTACACAACTTTCGTTCCTATAGCAACCCAACCGATTTCTCCTACCGCCCACCTCGCACTATGTAGAGCTGCAGTTTTTTGGGCGCGTGTGCCCGCGGGAAGAGCTGCTGGTACTCCTGGTAGATGGCGAGCCGTTCCTCCTCTGTCGCCGGCGCCAGAGCACGCTCCAGAGCGGCGAAGTGCCGACGACTCTCGGGGTTCCGTTTGAGCAGGGCGCGGTAGATGGCCGCCGACTCTGAGCCGCGGTCCAGCTCCAGCAGAATCTCGGCTGGCGACGCGACACAGCGACACGGTTTGTAAGGGATCAGGGAGGCAAGGACGGTAATACGGACGGCGGCACAGACAGAGACAACACACTCTTCGCAGCACTGAGGCTGTATAGTCTTTATAGTCTTTCATAGTCTTCCTTCAAAGTAACGATAAGCGGAGAAACTAAATACCGGTGAATCAACGGCTAAAATCGGCTCAATCCAGTCTCGCCCCTTCCTCTCCGACATCCCCAACCATGCCCCAGGTCAGGTGGTTTGGTGACTGAAACTTAGCACTTAGCAGCCCTTCCTCGGTCGGTCTTGATGGCACCGCCGCACCGCACCACATCGGTACTTTTAAGGGAGACTGCATGGACAGTAGCACGAACAGCGGCAAGGAGGAACAACCTTTGAATAGCTTATTCTCATCACATCAGGATGGCCAGCCCCAGGTTCTGGCTGTCCTCGTTATGAGCTCACCTCTCATCTCCTGGACGGTGACCTTGTCACAGATCTGTGCCTCGTACTTGTCCAGGTGTTCGAGCGCCTCGCGCAGCCGGCCCGCCTCCCTGATCACCATGGCCTGGTAGAGCATCAGTTCGCTCTGCTCGTAATCAGCAGAGTCCTTGGTGAGCGTCTCGCGGAACGTCTCCAGGATGCTGAGCGCCATATCGTGGTCCTTGGCCAGGTGCTGTGACAGCGCGTACCCGATCCACGAGACCCGCTGCGTTGGACGGAGCACAAACAGCTGGTAGCGTGTTTCCTGGAGAACAAAGCGGACAGGCGTGAACAGAGACGTAAACAGATACAAAAATGGTATTTTGTGGCCAATGCGATATAACACTGCGATGGTTCGATCATCAAAACCAACGAACAGCCCAGAGAAAAAAACGTGAATACTGAATAAGCGTGAGCCAGTGGTGTGAACAAATAGCAAAAATGAACAATTGTGGCGATTACGATAAAACATTGCAATAACTCGAGCATCAAGATCAATGACATACGGCAGAGAAGACATCGAACCTAGTTTGATCGGGATCATTGTCTTTGGATCCTTTGACGAGCTACATGTTCTCCGTATTCCCCGGAAACATCAGCTTCCACTAAGTGAAGAAAGGAAATGGTGATTGGTGAGTGAAGTAGCTTAACCCCTCCCTAGACAGGTGCACTAGAAAGCCTAGGGCTCTGGCGGAGGTCTACGTTCAAGTACGCACAAGATTGCCGAACTAAAGCAGTCCTAGCACCAATTACCCGATATCCTTCCAGATCTCGCATCTGGATTTGGAGCTGTGACAGATCCCTCAGGATCTGGATGTTGTCCTTGTCCCATTTCAGCGCGTTCCGATAGCATTTGATGGCCTCGTCGTACTTTTTATCGGACCTCTGAAGGATACCGTACACGTGCCAACACACGTGCGACTTTAGGTTGTTGCGCAGCCCTTTGCGCACGTAGTCGTAGGCCTCCTCCTTCTTGCCTAGGCAGTTCAAGATCAGGCCTTTCATGGAGAGTGTCTCTGTGGAAGGCATGGGTAGTGTCAGACACAGATGGAGGTGGGGCGACAGGGGCCGCAGGTCAATCGAGAAACATGTTGCCTGCAACTAAACTATTCTTATCAGCAAAAATGCAATTTATCTCAGACATTCCAGCTTGTAGAAAGTTGTGCACAGCAACTGATGCATTCAACACCCCAATGCAGGCCGGATGTGTCCTTACCGCCATGGTCTGGGTGAGCTGCCAATATCTGCTTGGCAAATTTCAGTCCATTTTTGTACTGTTTGTGTTCATAGCATTTCTGAAAAAAGAATGGCAAGTAAGATTGATGGTCCAACCAGTCCAACTTAAAAGGGCATTGAGAACAGACATCCCTGTGCAGAATAAGTCACAAACAAGCCAGAAATCTGGATCAATTATAGTTAAATATTATTATTCAATCTTATTGCTCAACTATTGTTCAGAGAAGAAGAATGGCACGAAAATGACCAAGATATCACATTGACATGAACGGTCACTTAGCCACACACACACAACTGGTCACAAATTAACCCCTTGTGCACTCAATGAGACCTAGTTTGGGCCATGTGACAACACCTATCCAGTGATAAACCAGTCTCATTAAACTTTCCAGGTGGTGGTGTGCTGGTTCCTGTCACATTAAGTACTCTTGCACACAAGAACTTTCACAGTACCAATCATTGAGATGCCAGGCATATCCATGAAAATTGAATAAACTGGTAATAATATTATATCAGCAGCTGCTTGGACTTGAATACAAAACATGAAAACATGGAGAGCTGTACAGGCTGGTGAGCTTCTAGCTGCAATTTTGGAGGTCTATGAAAAAAAACTGAATGCAATGAAATTTGGAGAAAACACACACCATAACCAGAACAAGGGAAATGCCTTTAGTGATCAACACTGGTTTTACAAAGGCATACATATGTCATACATGCTGTTCTTTACAGGCAAAAAGTGTGAAGATTGTCCACTGTCACCAAGGAAGACTGATTTTCAAATGGGTAATCAAATAGGACAATGAGCATGCAAATTTGTTGCGGGCACTTTGTGCCATCAGCATAAATGCTGTTCTATGACAGAATTTGATAGCTTTTTATGGTTTGGGAGATATGATAAAATATTATGAGGTCCGCATGTTTTGATAGTTCACATAAACAAGTCAAATGATCTTTTACATCATAACATAACAATAAAAAATGCAAAAGCTTGCATCTCATTAGCACATGAACAATTTGTTGTAATCAATTGACTTTGAAAAGCTAAGAATAAGTACGTAGGTAGCTAATTTAAATGTCATTCACAATGTATCCAAGCCAAAATATCTGCAAGGGACTCTAAAAGTCATAGAGAAAAAACATCTTTCAAGCATTGACTGGATTTTACAAGGTTTCTTACTTTGAGTCCTGATATATTGGCATTTATGGTAGAACATTTCTTGCATGATGACCTATCACCTCTTAGCTTTGATTTGAAGTTGCCAGTAGCCTTTCTGCTGATTGTAAAGCCAATGTGTCCAGGGATATATTGCAACTTTGCACAGTTCAAGCAATGGAGATAGCTCCGTTGATTCACCATGCATTACTCGTGTTCAGTGAAAATACGAAGTAATAAACACACTTCATTTCCCAAGAAATCAGTAGCAAAAAGGTGATATTTTGTGCTATGCTTGTTACCACATATTTTCGAAAATAATTGCATTGTGAACTAAAATAGGTACCTAGCACATACTGAGGAGCCGTACCTACCTAATAATACAAACAAATACTTAATAAATGGAAAAAAACAATACAAGCCAAGAACAAATAAAAAATAAAATAATCTATGAAAAATAAGTCTGTATGATGATTGGAATTCCATAAAATGCACCGAACACGCGATTCAGAACTTACCACTATCTTCTTGAACACTGAGTTTTCTCGTGATGGCAACACGTTTGGATCATTTTGACTCGATGGAGACATTGCTCAATAACACAATTATGCAGAATACTTATGCATTAACCCAATACCACAAACACTTATCCCCTAATCGGCCTATACACCTCGACCACAGGCCCATGTCACTCCACTTTTGATGACATCATAAGGGGGTCACAGGACAATTAATGGCGCGGTGCGCCACAATCACTCCCAAGCTACTGGCCAACAGTTGCCATTTTTGAAAATATTATTTTGAAATAAAGTTTCAAGTAATGAAAATATTGTAATAAAGTTGTAACTTAAATCTATACCATATCTAAAAACTTACTGAAAAATGATTTATCCATAGTAAAAATATAAGCTCGATGCGTTTTTACGTTGCTTTCCTGCTGTTGCAGAGGGTTTTTAAATCGTCTATATCTTCAAAACCGGCCATTTCTTAGCATATTGCTGCTCTTTTTTGTCGCTGGAAAATTAGTTGGGCTTTCCATTAACATCAACGGCTGAGCCGTATGTGCAGAGTGCCATCAATAATCTTCAAATGAAGTTAGTCATTTTTACGTTGCAAAGGAATGGAGTACCCTTTGCGAGCATCAGGGATGACGTCACTCAGGATCTGTCTCTGATTGGTCGGCGGGGGAGTGACTGTACCTTCTATAGATGGCCTTGCTCGACCACGCGCCAATACCGCTATTCGCAATCCAAGCGAGCTGCGCCAAACCTCGTGGTTCGGTTCCAATCATGGCGCAAGCATTTCTACTCTACTCGGTGCCACCGCTGTCAAACAGAAAACAGGTGACAGTTGCTTCTTTTACCCGAGCAAAAATACAAACAAGCTCAGCGTTGAAAGATTGCAACGGAGCAAGGCAATGAATGGAAAATATGTCATAGATTAAGTGTGTTACAACTCATTCTGACCCAGCTTATTTGGCTGCATCTTGCAGGTTTATTTAGCATTGAGCCTACAAAAGCGCTGTGAGTCAGCGGGGTACCTACGTAAACATGACTTGACTTTGACCTCAACCGTGACCTGCTCATAGAAAAGCAAAAACTCAAGTCGACAAGAAGCATCAATGACTTGTTAATGCTTCCTTCCTTTATTTCGTTCCGGTGTCGTCTGAAAGGTCGTTTTTAGCCCGTGCGAGGTATGATGTAGCATAAATGACGCACGGGTCTCATTGACCATAGCATGAGTCGCTTAGGCCATAGCATAGCCTCTTACTCATGCTAACGGCTTCGCCGCGAGTGCGACTCACGGCTCGCCAGCAATGCGCATGTTCCTTTCCTCACGAAATTCTAGATCGGAACGGGTCAAACTGCTGCGAGCCCCGATTGACTTCGCCCACCCCCGAAGCGTAAGCCGGCTTCACAGGGGGCGTAACCGGGCGCACAAATGCGTAGGTGCCCGGCAGCAACCCGATCCAGTGACCGAACGGCGGCTGTTGTGACCGATTCTCTGCACTGCCGACCGCCGCGCTGTGACGCCCACCGTAACCTGTCCTGCCGTGACTCCTGCTCGCCTTCTGCATTCTGTGGCACCCCCGATTTCCTGTCCCACCGTGACACTCCCGATCCCCTGACCCCTGTCCCAACGTGACCCCCTGTCCAGCCGGGACACTCCCGTTTTCTTGCCCTGCCGTACAACACCAGTCCTGTCGACCGCTGTGATCAGGGTATATAGAACAACGCTGTGATACCCCTGAGCCCCGTTTTGACCGAGCGCACTCTGAGTCCTTCACCCATGTGTTCACCAGTCGTTATGGCGAGGACGTTGGCCATCGTGCAAGTCTTCTTTGCCTGGCCGATGGGTAAGTGTAAGGTGGAGATGTAGAAATGCATTTTTAGAAAATAAGGATAGATTTGCCACTCGACATCTTATCCCCATGATGAGCACAAGCCACAAACTGTTCGCTGTTATGTACCATAACCTTTTCACTGTTCAACATGAGTGAGGTGCGAATCGGTACCGTAGGTGACCGCGGCGGCGCGGCAGTGTGCCAAAAGCACAGCGTACCAACAGCGTACGGTGTAAGGGGAGGGAAGAGGGGAGGGGAGGGTTGCAGCTCCGTCACCCGACACCGACCTGATACCGGCGCCGGTCGGTCGGTCGGTCACCTGCACACTAAATACACACCCCCTTCCCCGACCACGGTCGACGGTGAACGAATGGATGGTCGGGGACAAAAAAGTTACCGAGAAAGGAGGTGGAAATTCATTTACAATACCCGCCCACCCGTCGTTTAGTGTGTCTATGGCTTAACACCTTTAAGATTCATCGCTGATGCCCACAGCTTCCAGAGAGCACGTTGAAAGCCTTCCCGCCGGGTGCTCAGTGCTCCCAGATGTGACTGTGTGCCGTTGTCACCCACAGCCGCTGGACAGCGCGTCAGCCCAGTCGAGTGGCTCTCGGTGACCCTGGACGGTCCGTGCCGGCCGCCGGGACCCCCTCCAGTCAGCGTGGAGCGCGGGGTGCTCGGGGTGGTGCCGCCCGGCCCGCGCGTCACCAACGTCACCTGTGACGACTCCGGCCGGCAGCTGACCGCCAACGTCACGCTCACCGTCCACCAGACGCTCAGACTAACGCACGTGCTCGACAGACTGCGCGCCTTCAACAGCGCGCTCTTCATCGAAGACGACGCGTTTCAGGTGTGCTGCTACCGACGGCGGCCGTACCGGCTGCGGGAGCGCTCCGTGGTGTGGCAACCCCGCGCTCGCGTCCAGCTGGTTGTGTACGCGGCTGTGGCCGGCACCTGTGTCTTCCTGGTGGTGGGCGCCGCTCTGCTGGCGGTGGCTCACGCGGCGTCCCGGCCGCGGCGGCCGAGTCCGGTGGCGCCTCCGACGGTGCGCTACTCGGAGGAGATGGTGCGTCGCCGGCTGGACCGCCAGCACTCTGAGCACGAGGAGGACGTGCTGCTCGACGCGCTGTCCCAGCCGCCGCTGCCCCGTGACGAGGAGCCCGCCGTGGCCAACAGGAGGTCAGCGGACTTCTACTGAGCCGCCGACACAGCGGCCGCATTGGTGATTACGTGTGTCCCCCATACCGCAGAGTGATGTGTACCACGTGAACCACGAACATAGCTGTCATCCGGTAGATAAGGGCAGATTTCGGTTCCGGTTCGTTTGAAACTTGGTCAACATTCCAACTTACCACTGCTAGTTAGTGGCGATCGTGCTAATCGATGATCGATACCCAGACTATAATAAAACGAACTTTATGGTCATCTTTGTGATACGAAATCGAATTTCCTTATGTGGTTATGAATGATTGCTAGTTGAACATCTTTCAACGCTCACTTATCAGGTAAAAAGTTACTCGTAGCAATGAATTCCCTCTCCGTGGTTATCAGCGTCGAAGGGCCCCCCGTCCCAACTCCCTCTCTACCCTTGGGTCGTGTCTGTCGTGCTTCACCTCTCGTTATTTAGTAATCTAGCCCGTGTTGGTATTGGTATGCTTGACAGCTGCAGCTGAGCAGGACAGGCCGGCACAATAAAGGCGCATTTCGGCACCCAAAGCACATTGCCCGCGTTCCAGTGTCTCAAATGCGTCATCTACCCAGGTGTTCCATGGTGCGACAACTGTCTATAGCTCGATATCCAGAACCCTGTTCCCCACTCACACAGTTGTCTCGGCCTCGAATCCTGTATTGACCGGACACAAGACGCGACACGGTGCAGAGTTAACGGTACGACTTCTGGTAGCGGGCACGGGGTCCGGGACCGCCGAACTTCTTGGACTCGCAGCGGCGAGGATCGGCCACGAGCAGGGAACGGTCGTACTGGATCAGGATGTCCTTGATCTCCTTCTTGGACGCCTCGTCAACATCTGCCGAAAACATAACCAGGACGGTCAGTCGAGGTGGTGTTTGGGGTTTACGGGGCAGCGTCAGTGGACAGACACTGGACTGGAGGGGAGGGGGGAGCAACATCACCCCAATAAAACGTGAACCGGGGTGTTACTGATGAAAACACGAATACGGCGAAAACAGCCAAGTTGGATGACCATGAGAACGTGGTTGGTGCACCATATGCAGTCTGACATCACAGCAAAGAGATGTGCCGATAACCCACTGACCAATTGCACCAGATTTGAAAAGCCATCAAGGATGGCGTCGAAGCATCCTTAACAATTCAAATGCATGGTATATCAGAATTTATCCCGCGAGTGATCCGAACAACCTTAGGTGAATTTGCAAGCAGCGACAACCCGTGCTGCTCGTCAACTTGTGGTTGTTCAAATATCGTCTGCAATGCACATAGTGCCAGTGACCAGCACCGCACCATAGAAGTGCTTAAAGGGACCCTCCCACCTTAGCATTAGATTTGAGTTGAGATAGCCAAAATGGGGTCCCTGGCTCACAATTACCGGTTTCGGCACTCACAACATCGAGAAATGCCTTAAATCGGAAATATTGAATTTCAAAATTGCAGCATTTTGATTCAGAGGGGCTAATGCTTAGGAATACCCCTCTGAATGTGTGACGTCAGCGCAAATATCTAACGATTTTTAATGTTTGACTAAAACGTTTTGTAGCACGCGGTGGTATATGCTATTTGCGCGCAACATCTGCCGCAAACGCCGCACTTCTAAAATAAAGTCGCTAGAAACAGCGGAGATCCCCAAAAAAGTAAACAAAAGTAAAAGTCTAATATCTTGAAAACCGGTGAATATTTTTCGGTGAAATTTGGTAGATATTCGTTTTCGCTCTTTCTGAACCGAGCGACATCACTTTCATGCCAATTCATAAACTTTTTTGAAGGTGGGAGGGTCCCTTTAAGGGTTGGAGAAGAGCCCCCCCCCCCCCCCCACACACACACACCTCGGTTCCTGCTACACTTATCAACCAAGGGCACGCAAAGGCGAGGGTATCGTACGCTCGATGTAAAAAATCCATCGATAGCTACTTGATTTAGGTAAGCAAGCGATTGGGAAGGGGTATATCAAGCCTAAGTTTTCCTCTCGATATTTCCTTTCTCACATATTTGCTCAATATAAACTTATGTCACAAAATATCATCATGAAACTAAACGCCATCAGCTGAAACAAGCTTAGTGTCCCTGTCCAAGTTCAACCTGGTAGCTACCAGTAGGACGTCTTTCGGGGCGACTTCTAAGCGCCATAGGGCTCACCTACGAGATATCAGTAATGAGGCGATATTTACTTATAACTTTCCGTCACATACAGCTGACTCCACCTTCAAGGGACCCTCCCACCTTAACATTAGATTTGAGATGAGATAGCCAAAATGGGGTCCCTGGCTCACAATTACCGGTTTCGGCACTCACAACATAGAGAAATGCCTTAAATCGGAAATATTGAATTTCAAAATTGCAGCATTTTGATTCAGAGGGGCTAATGCATAGGAATACCCCTCTGAATGTGTGACGTCAGCGCAGATATCTAACGATTTTCAAATGTTTGACTAAAAAGTTTTGTAGCACGTGGTGGTATATGCTGCTTTGCGCGCAACAAGTGCCGCACTTTCAGCTGCCAAACTATTGCTTCCAAATAAAGTCGCTAGGAACAGCGGAGATCCCAAAAAGTAAACAAAAGTAAAAGTCTAATATCTTGAAAACCGGTGAATATTTTTCGGTGAAATTTGGTAGATATTCGTTTTCGCTCTTTCTGAAACGAGCGACATCACTTTCATGCCAATTCATAAACTTTTTTGAAGGTGGGATGGTCCCTTTAAGCGTAGGTTAGTCGCCAGTCAGTCAGCCAGTTAGCAGTCATATGACACAACTAGTGTAAATGCTTGTCAAACTTTTAAAACAAAGGGACCAACTGCGTGCCGCAAAATGTTCCGAGCAAAACCAAAATGAACTGGACCGGAGGTTTCAAGACGAAGATAGGGTCGTTCAAATTAGCAGCAGAACGAGTTGTGAGGGATGAACAAGGGAACGCAACAGTCATGAGCCCTGCACATAAGAATAAGACCGATTTAGGCAGGTCACACCCTAGCCGGTTCCAAACAGCGCACCTGTAGCGCATTGGTCTCGCCGAAATGTAGAAGCGGCCCTGCACGCGCGTGCGTGTAAACTGAGACACTGCCAGACACTTCTAACCGGGCGGTGTTTCACGGGCTGCTGCTACCACGCTGCTATCAAATTGCGCGAGCTGACGTCACACTAATTGTGGTAGTGTTGGAGCAATGGGCCTGTTGATGTCTCCATGGAAACCCAATTTGACAAGTCGTAAAATCGGCGTGCTGCTATCACCGGTGAAACAGGGCCCCGGTCTCAATTGGTGTACCAAATTTAGAGTGCAGTCGGCCGAGCCGCTTTTGAGACATAGAAGCAGCTGCACCTGAACGTGCACACGTGCAGTGGCACCCCAGTAGTGAACCATGGAAAAACATTTTCTGATGGGTGTCCGCGGCCCCACGACTGCCCACCGAGCTGCCCAAGGAGAGCTCCAGCGCATTACCCATAAAGGAGTTTCATTTTTATCAGTGGAACAATTTGGACACCCCTGAGTTGACACATTACGTGTAGGAATCAATGCTGGGGCAGGTGGGATGTAGCTATCCAACAGAGCAGAACATTTGTGACACGGATGCACGATTGTAAAAATTTGTCCGTCACACTGACAAGACTCGCTTCGCCTTTGCTCGTAATAACGAAAACAGCTTGCCTTGGTCAATAAATGCTTATCAACCTAAGCACAACATCACGTTTTTTTAGGATAGGGCAGGGGCGATTCAGCGTAATAGGAACCGCTACTCTTCACGCGCATGTTGACGCCGGCGAAGCGCTCACTGCCCTGGCCATTTCCAGACAGACTAGTCAATTAACCACGTCAGATCGTAAATGAAAACAAGCCTGCATGTCAAATGAACCTCCCTAATGCCCCTGAAGTGCCACAGCAGTGAAGCCACTTACATTTCTGGTAGTAGGCCACGAGCGCCTTGGAGATGGCCTGTCTGATGGCATACACCTGGGTGATGGAACCGCCACCCTTCACGCGCACGCGCATGTCGACGCCGGCGAAGCGCTCCTTGCCCAGCAGCAGGATGGGCTCGTGCAGTTTGTAGTAGAGCGAGCGGGGCTGGACGAGCTCCAGCGGCCGGCCGTTCACCTTGATCATGCCGCGACCGCGCTTGCAGTGGGCCACAGCCGTGGCGGTTTTCTGAAACAGAAACATTGAGAAAATGTGAAACAAATGTAGTAATTTATAAAACCATTCCTTCCTTAGAGATGTAGATAAGCTTCCACAAAGCTGAAGCTAGAGACATTTCAGCATTTATCATTTAATAGGGCTGCAGAGACAGTTGATTTTATCGGTGACTCCAACTGGACCTGCTCCGGGTTCCGACTCCCGACTCCAGACATCTCTCATCGAGTTCACGTGATGACGTCGTGAAGTTCATGTCAGTGATGCTTTTATAATGCATGCAACAACCCTTTGGGCGTTTAAAGGCCTTGTATGGCAAATACTTCGATCGGTATGTCTATGATCCTAGTCTATGCAACATCGATTCCGACCAACTCTGACTCAGCAGCTCGCAATTCACCAGGCGTTAAACCTTGCTTGGCAATAACTTCCAGATAACTAGTTATTACATCTAGATTTGATTTTGTCTCTTGTTTGTGCAGACCCTATATGATCCTGCGGTGCTGAGTGTTATTGTGCTTGCAAGTTTCTCTTTTTGTTCCCTCTGCGAAATACTTTTCAGACATTTTATGTTTGACCCACTGATTCACTTCATTTGTTCTAGTACATGACCCATGAGTACACTGGCACTCCCTGCAGATTTTCCCAGTAGGAGCTGCAAATAGCCAAGGTACCATTGGCATAATCTACATTCAATTCTTTCAGAGGGCACAGCAATATTAGTATTCAACATACTTTGAATGATATTATAATCACAAAACATTATTTTGAACTATACAGAAAATGCCAAGCATTGCATCACAATGATCAAATGAAATGTTGTCACTGATTTATAACACAGTAACCTTTAAGCACTTAGCAGTTAACAGTCAAATTCAGCATGAATCTGAAGCACAAGCTCACCTTGCGGCCAAACACCTGCACTGACTGGTTACCAGCATCACGAGCCTGGAAAGAAACCATATTGTTATAACTATTGTGACACGGACAAGCAAATTCATAACATGGACAAATAAAATATAGTAACAGACTCAGTACCACCTACTTTCATTGACTAGCATGTTTGCACTTTCCATTATCATGTCATGTATACCAAACCAGAGGCCTCTTGCACCAAACTACCTAGCTAGGTAAAATCGAAAAACCGGTTTCAGAATAAGCTAATCAAACGGTGGTACAGTTGTTTGCAATAGCCCAATGCATAATCCTACAGGTGCTTGGTAACTTTTACATGCAAATTGTCATATTTGAGTCTTGGATTGGGTATACGATGCAAAATAATCCAAGCATTGGTGCAAGAGGCCTCAGGTTAAAAATTG